ATATATTTATATATATTATATATATATGTATATATGAAAAATATATAAAAAATGCATGTGGGTATTCAAATGAAAGCTCTTGATGAGTATAACATCGGGATCAACTTACATCTTCAAAACTATCAATAATTAAGAAATGACCTTGTATCTTGTGAATTATTGACATTTTTAAAGATATAAGCTCACCCTGACATTACACTCATCGAGACCTTTCATTTGAGTACCCACATCAATTTTTTATATATTTTATATATTTATATATATATTATATATATGTATATATGAAAAATATATCAAAAATGCATGTGGGTACTCAAATGAAAGCTCTTGATGAGTGTAATATCAGAATAAGCTTATATCTTTAAAAATGTCAATAGTTAAAACAGTACAGTTCAATTTAACAACAGTCATTATTTAATGAAGCAAAATTTTATTTATTTATAGTTTACAAGTCACGGTAGTCACATAGTGACTGCAAGGTTGCTTGTAAAATTTATTTTTAAATTATAAAAATAATTTAAGAACTAAAAAATCTTCTATAAATTAATATTTTTTTTTAAATTTCAGATCTGGACTGTTGTAATGGGACTCGCTGAATGGAATAAAAAAGAAGAACTAGTTGCCGAACAAGCATTGAAACATTTAAAAATATACACACCATTGTTTGGGGCATTTACTACCACTGCCAAATCAGAACTCGCTCTAATTTTAAAAGTCCAAGAGTTCTGTTATGAAAATATGAATTTTATGAAAGTCTTCCAGAAAATCGTCTTACTATTTTACAAAAGTAAGTAACACCACAAAATTAAATAAATTTTATTAATACCCAAACATAAAAAATAATCATTTTTTTATTCAACAGCGGACGTAATTTCTGAGGAGGTTATATTAAAATGGTACAAGGAGGGCCATTCGCTCAAAGGTAAAATTCTTTTCTTGGACCAAATGAAAAAGTTTATTGAATGGCTGCAAAATGCTGAGGAGGAATCTGAATCAGGAGAAGAGGAGGATTAAATTTAATTATAACCAATAATCCGTTTATTGAAACTCAACACTAAATTACAAAGAAAAAAATATTATCAATTTAATCTCTGACAAAAAAAAAACATTTTTTCCGATTTATTGAACCTACAAACTTACAACAATAATTGAAATTATAAGTCTGTCCAAATTTTTAATCTATTTATTTTTTTATGCTCATTTATTAATTTTTAGGTTTAATTTTTTTGAGAAAATTTTACCATGATTTACAAAAATATTTTTACCATGTCTGTAATAAAATTTCAATGTTTATAATAAATAGATCAATTTTGTTAGAATTGATAATTTCATTGTGCTGCATGGTAAAAATAATAATTTTATTGTACTGCATAGTAAAAAAAAATTTTTCATTGTAAAAATTTAACCATCTTTGTGTCAAGGTTAAATTGTGAAAAGTTTTAAAAATTTTTACCGTACATCTGATGAAAAAAAATTTTTTCATGATTTTTTGTTAAAACATGGAAAAATTTTTTGTTAAGTATTTGTACAGTAAAATTTTTTTTAGAATGATTTATTAAGTTAGAGATTAATTTTTGCTATGTAAGCATAGAAATTTTTTCCATACAAACATTAAAATTTTTTTATGTAAAAACTTAAAAATATTCTTAGGTACATAGAATTTTTTTTTTGCATTTGATTAAAAAATTTTTACCATACAGCTAATTAAAAATGTTAAACTTTTTTACCATGGTTCATTAAAACTTGGAAAAAATTTTGACATTGCAAGAATATCTGTAGAGTAAAAAAAATTTTTACCACGCAAAAAAAATTTTTCCATGTGCAAAAAATTTTACCGTGCAAAAAAAATTTTTTTTTCTAAAAATTCAAAAAAATTTTAATGCACAGTAAATTTTTTTATCCATTAAAAAAAATTTTTTTTCCATGCAAGTAATTAAAAATGTCAACTATTTTTTCCATGGTTCTTAAAATCTTGAGAAAAATTTTTGCATTAAATTTTAGCTATGCATTGTAGAAACTTTTCCGTGTAAAAAATTTTTACCATGCAAAAATTTTTTCCGTGTAAAAAATTTTTACCATGTGAAAAAAATTTTTGTTAAAAAATTAAAAAAAATTTTTACCGTGTAAAAAAAAATTTTGTTAATAAATTAAAAAAAATTTCAATATAAAAAAAAATTATTGCATTTTAAAAAAATTTTTTCCATGCAGCGGAAAAAAAAATTAAAAAATAAATTGAGCATAAAAAAATAAACCCAAACTATAAATTAAAAAAATTAATTGACTAAACTGAGATCAACTGATGTATGTATGGGTGACGGGTGAATAAAATAATTGTGCGTATGAAAAACTACCAGCAAAATAAAAATCAATTAACTAAAAGCCAATTAAAATTAGACCGTGTACACTGGAGTAATAATAAAAAAAAAAATTAAAAGTAAAGAATTAAACAAAAAAGAAAAAATTTATTTTTTTTTATTACAAATATCTTCCTTTAATTTTTTGTTACAACTTTACACCGTTTAATTCAATTGAGGGACGATTTTTTGAAAATTTACATTTTTATTTTTTATTTGTTTACCGTAGGCTTTTGATAATAAAATTTTTGAGATATTTGTAATTAAAAAAAATGAATTTTTAAAATAAAAAAAAAAGGTATTGAAATCAGAACTGTTGATTGTAAATTTATAAAATTGTATGAGTTAATTTAAGAATATAAAAATATTTTGTTCTACAATTTTTTATCCGTAGATCAATAAACATTAACAGTATAGTAATTAATGATAATTATAGTAATACTATTAATAATAATGATGGTGAATATAATAATGAGGATTGAATAATTAATGGACATAATTTGTTGAATAGGAATAATTGTAAACTAAAAAAGAAATGATTTATTCTCCTGTGTACGTACGACTTTCGGATACCCCATCTTATTTTGTACGATAATTAAATTTAAAAGTGAAAACAAATGTAATTCATTTATAGAAAACAAATACAAATATATTATATATACTGCGGAAATCTTTTTTGATAACAAAATAATCATTTTTTATTAAGAATATTTTTTTTACCTGTTTTGTATATTAAATTATAAAACTTGACGAATGCTTTTGTTAAATTGCACTGTACTTTTTTAATTATTGACATTTTTAAAGATATAAGCTCATTCTGATGTTATATTCATCAAGAACTTTCATTTGAGTACCCACATGCATTTTTGATATATTTTTCATATATACATATATATAATATATATATTAAATATATGAAAAATTGATATTGGAATATATGAAAAATGCATGTTGGTACTCAAATGAAAGGTCTTCATGAGTGTAACATCGGGATGAGCTTATATCTTAAAAAATGTCAATAGTTCACAAGATATAAGGTCATTTCTCAAATAATAAAAATTAATTTAGCTTAATTGAAAAATTTATAACAAAAAATAATGGCAAAAAAATTTTTAAAAATGAAAAAATGCAATTTTTTAAAAATTGATATTTTTTTAATTTAATTGCATATTAAATTTTGATATATTCTTTCTATATACATATATATAATATATATTTTAAAGATATAAGCTCATCCTGATATTACACTCATCAAGAGCTTTCATTTGAGTACCCACATGCATTTTTATATATATTTTTTATATATACATATATTTAATATATATAAATATATGAAATATATGAAAAATTGATGTGGGTACTCAAATAAAAGGTCTTGATGAGTGTAATGTCGGGGTGAGCTTATATCTTTAAAAATGTCAACAGTTCACAAGATACAAGGTCATTTTTTAATTATGTATCTAGAGATTGAGAATTTTCGAATGCAGCTTAAATACTGATCATCATAAATTTACTATCGGTAAGAATGACATGAAATTTTTAAAAGGCACATTAGTGCCATTCATATCAAGACCTTTGCAATGACACTAAATTTTACTAAAAAAATTTTCTTATTCTCTTAACAGTATAGATTATATAAAATATGTAATTGTATACCTCAACTATTTAATTTCTTTTTTTTTTTTAATCTTTGGCTCCGTTTTTGTCATAATAAAACAATTCTTGATCTATATAATTAAGAGAATACAGAAAAATTTTGTCTTTAAAGTATAAATAAGATAAAATAAATTTTTTTAATAAATTTAGTGTCATTACAAAGGTCTTGACCTTAATAATTTGCCCAGGTAAGTTTTAAATTAGAAATTATTTTTTAAATTTGAATTTTGGCGGGAGCGTGACGTAGTTCTCTATCCGGAGCGCAACGCCATCTTACAGAGAAGTTAAAGAACTTTGCAAAGCCCGGGAACTTTTAAATGTTTAATTTCATTTGAAAAATTTAAATGATACAAAAATTAGCAGAGCAATTTTTAATTTTTAACGAATTAATTGTCTAAAATAATTTTTTAAAAATTACGTTAATAATTTTTCTTTAATTTCTACTTGTGTAATTTTTTATTTTAAAGTTTTTTATGTCATAATTTATTAACTAAAAAAAATTTTTAAAGGTCTCTTAAATTAATTATTTTATTTTTATTAATTTATTGACTCCAAATTTTTAATAAAAAATTTCTGCACAATTTACTATAAACATTACCTCTAAATTTTATTAAAATTTTTAATACATAAAAACAATCAATTATCTGTTTTTAAACTTATACGTCCTCATTTCTCCGACATTTTGTGTTTCAATAATTTTTTTTCCGTTCATAAACGGCACCAGAACTTCAGGAACTTCAATGTTCCCATTTTTTAGTTGATGAGTCTCACAGATGGCAATCAGAGTTCTTGGAACCGCGCAAGCGGTTCCATTAAGAGTATGCACGTACTTAGCTTCATTATTATTATTAGCTTTGTACTTAATGTTCAGACGTCGGGATTGGAAGTCTGTACAGTTGCTGCAACTGGACAATTCACCGTAAACGTTTTTTCCAGGTAACCAGCCTTCAATATCAATTTTCCTGTTATTTCAAATAAAATATATTAATATTTGAATGGAAAATTGAAATTGTTAGTAATTACCTGTAAGCTGGCGCTCCTAACTCATGGGAAGGCATATCAATAGTTTTGAATCCAAGCCCTAGGTCCTGGAAGATATTTTCTTGGATCTCCAGCAATTCTTCAAGGAATTGTGAAGATTTATCTTCTGATGTGCAAGCAAACATTTCTACTTTTGTAAATTGATGAACTCTGGAAAAAATGTTCTGGATTTTTAACTCGAAAAGCTCAAAAATCAATCAACTGGAGAATTAGGAGCGTTTTTCAAAATAGGCGGGAAATTTCAAAAAAGGCCGAAGCAATAAAAATTCCTTTTTTCAGAACTAACTAATTGCTGACCTAGTTGACGTGTCTTTTCCACGAAGCTCCACACTAACTTTAACGATGTTTTACCACATTATGAGCTGCAGTTGTCATTAGCAACAATTCGATACAAAGTCACACGTACTGCAAAGCATTCAGTCGGCAACTTTACTTTAAACTGCTCAGTCGCTAGCTCGTCAGACGAATCGTCGTTACTTTTTTAAATACATCAAAGACCTTCAGAGTTTCAAAACATTTCCGATTTTTAATTCTGAAGGATTTATTTTCTAAATTAATTATCAACAGATAAATAATGCGGCTGATTAGAATTATTTTATGCTGCTGTTGCGTATTTACTGGTCACTTTTCAAATGGAAGCAGTATTCGCAGTTCAGAAATCAAATCACAACTTATCAATCATACGGTAAGTTGATTATTTTGCACGCCTTGAGATCAAGCGTGACAAAATTATTTTTTTAATTTAAATAATTGTTCATGGTTTTTAAAATCACTTATTTTTCTTGCAGATGGAATTGATTGATAGAGGTTTTGCAAATAATTCTAACCCACTGATAATATCTTCCGACTTAGTTGATGATCAAGTGGCAAGTAGGAGTATTGATAATGGAAGTCCGCTGATTGTCATAAATGGTGATCAGAAATGGAAGCAAATCGGGGGATATCTTCCTAGCTATCCTACCTACATTCTCAGATTTAAGTCTCCACAGAAACTGGTATCACTCATCATTGGGTTCATGGGCTCAACAATTTGGAACATAAAGTCGCCAATTTTTATTCTCGACATTTCTGAAGGCCTGCATGATAGAAACGCTAATTGGGTTCCTTCATTTCTTGGAAGGCTCGATATTCTAATATCATACTATGTATGTTATGATGACAAAATAGATTCAACCATGGTCTACACTCTGAACCCTTACACGCAATACGCTCTGTCACCTTGGAATCAAGTTAAATTTGCAAATGCCAATGGCAATAGTACAACAAAAATGACACTATATAGTCTACAGTATCCGAAAGGTAATCATCAAGTTTAACAATATCATTTACGATAAAAAGCCAATGTATCGCTGATCAAATTCCAGTAAACTCCCTCTAAATTTACTCACTCTGACAGTTCTTGATTTCCAAAGATTGCAGGATAAATTAGTTAAATATGTGTACTTATTCTTCTACCCTGCGTCTTAAATGGTGTATTAGAATCGAGAGGTGGAGCGTACTTATAAAATATATGTCGAAGCCTTTATTATTATCACGCATTCGGAATGCGAGTCGGGGAATAAGTTCACATTGTGGGAATCAGGAGAATGAGCACCTTTAGAGGGATTCTATGCGGAAAAAAAATTTACTTGCATCAAGTGAATAATTTTGAAGAACTTTATCTTCTTGATTTGAGTAGAAAAATTCTCAACCTAGAAATTTTTTCTGGGGTTAAATAAATTTAACTTGATTCAAGTTAATTTTTATTCACGATACGGCAATCCTTAAAGAGAAAAAAAATCGAGTAAGATCTCTAAGGTATAAGCTTATTTAATTTTGTCAATTGGTTTTCAGACTTGAATAACAACTATAAAAATATTTATTTCGACGAAACTGAACAGTTAGATGGTCATGAAATAAAATTAATGGTCTCCATCATTGACAAAAATTTACCCGAACAGTACAACCAGAGACGTATTGCTGAGTACATAAAAAATGTTGAAAAGTTAAAAGACACCGTATTGTATTCATTACCAGATTATATGAAAGTAACAGCGTCACTTAAAATTCTCGAAACTGACTCCGATTTCAGAACGTTAAAATACGGTTTTGATGAAAGACTTTTCAGTGGTCAGTACGATGTGTCTAACTTCATAAACCAATTAGCTGATTTTGTGACGCAGTATCTTGAAGTTCACTTTTCAATTTTAACCAAGAAAACAGATTATTTAACGGCACTTACCGAAGTCCACATAAATTATCAGTTTATCTTTATTACACTCTTGGTGTTGTTCTTGATTGCAGTAATCATAATCATGAACAATAAATTCAATGTGAGCAGAGGAATCATGGACATTGTGAGCATGTCACTGAGCATGGGGATAATGTCTCCAATGGGTCGTTTCTCGATGAAGATCATTTATTTTTTCGGATTTTTATTCATTTTTGTGGTGATGCCCGAATTCCAAGGACAAATCTCGGCCATTCTATCTCAACCTGCAAGACGCAATGTCGAAACCCTGAAGGACTTATTTGACAATAAATACCACGTGTTTTATGATGCGTTTTTACAAAATGACATATTTAATGAACAATTGTGGGTGACCGAAGAGGACCAGAAATACTTGCATTCATCGGGTTTTCGTAGTCTGAACAAATGTGCAGAAGAAGCCCAAAAAAATTCGACCATCGCTTGTATTGACTTGACTTCAAACTTACTTCGCAAAGTTTTGTACCTTAAAAATCTCTATGTATCAAAAGAAATCACGTTCAAGAAATATTTTGTGTTTTGGACAAAGAAGAACTGGGCGCTGAAGGACAAAATTGATAAAGCCCGTTCGATACCAGTGGAAACAGGATTAATTTACCATTATGATGAAGAGATAACGAAAAATCGATGGAAAAAGATAGAAAAGATGAAGAAAATTAAAGAAGCTGAAAACTATGAACGGATCAACTTTGATAACTTGGTGTTTTATGTAATTGTGTTTGCGGCTACTTTGCTGTGGAGCTTGGTCATTTTTGGAATTGAACTTACTGTCTACCACATTCACTCTAAATATCAAAGACGGGAAAAGGAGCGACGACAGTTCATTGAGAGATTGAGAGCGCAACCACGGATTATTTTACCCTGGGTCGAATAGTTCTGTCAAACACTCACGAGTGATTCAAATAGAGGAAAAGTCAACCATCGAATTAGTAGATAAGTTTTGTTTTGCAATTTTAATACTGATTATTGTGATTGAGCTGTGAGTATTTTTGTCTTTAGCGTGTGATTTTATATTTTCTACACAAAAATAACAGTTTTTATGCCCCGAGAGATTATTTTTTGGCTCAAAAAAATGTTGTGCATTTTGAATTGGAATCGGAAATTTTATCGGGACAAAAAAATAATTTTCGAGAATTTTATTACTTAGTCTTGAAATTTTCAATTAATACGCCAATAAAATTTCATACTATCCTTGAGATCATTTTATCTCATCTTAATAAAATAGTTTATTAAACTAAGAGGTGTTTTTCGTCCATTAAGATTCTTAAATTTTCACTAAAACAATTATTTAATCTCGAGTCATATTATCTCTGTTCTTAGAAAATAGCAGTATGCTACAGGGAGAGAGCTAAAAATTTTTTTGGCTCAAGTGAGTACCTAGTACTCCTGAGCAGTGCCTAGTTAACCATAAAAGTATTTTGAATTGAAATATAATTGATGTTATGTTTTATGAAACTGACTTTGAATTTACAAGATTTAATGTATAAAGAGTGTAAATTAGTTAGTATTTTTAATCAAGTCATAATGTATGCTATTTTGTGGTATTAAAGAAATCGATTGCAAAATATTATTGCATACTTATTTTAAAATATTTAAATTATTCCAAAAATTTTTCTTTAAAAACAAAATACAAACCTATAAATTCCAGCTTCTTCAACATTATTAGAAGCTTCCGCTCTGAAGCACCGACTAACCGCTGCCAATTTAACCGGCAAGCTATCCCCATCTATCACCTTGTTCATCATCTTCATCGCCAGCGCCATTTCAGCCGTTCCCGAGAGACAAACATCTCCATAAGCTTTATCAAGGGTGTAAATAAGATGGTGTTCTCCATCCATCACCATTCCACACCTTTCAATCACCGTCGTAGGTAAAATGTCAGGGACACTGACCAACCTGAACCCTTGTTTCAGCAGCTTCCTCACCGAATACTGAACCAGCGCTTCTTCCATCTCGGCAAGGTCGCCCAATAAAATGTAACTTTTGGGGCCAGACACTGGCCCCAAGTTCTCAATCCTGATCAACTTTAGGTTCTTCACCAGGTCCATAAAACTCTTGGGCTTGAAATCATAAGACCTGGTGCTGGTTTCTTTCAAAATCTTACCCTGGTCACCGTACTCTAGTACTCGCGGGTCAGTTCTGTTGGGAATTTTTGATAATTCTTTTAGGAATTCATTTCGTTTTGATGGATCAGAGGATAATTTTAAAACTTTGTCAATATCTCCGACTCCTTTTCGGTGGGATATGTTATTGGCTATTGATAGACGGTTTTTTGGGTCACATATGTATGATGTGTCTAAGTCTGGGGTGGGAATTTTTATACTTGATATTGATCTTAAGTGATTAATCTGAAAAAAAAATTTTTAATAATAATAATAACGATGGTCTAATTAGCAATTGGTCTAACTCCTTATTTTTTAGAGGGTGATTTTTTAATTTGATGTAGTAATTGTCCAATTATAAATTATTTAAATTATCTAAACCAAAACGTTATACTTCTATTACATATTAAATGGTTTTTTCAAGTGATAATATATTTTGAACTAAAGTCACTATGTGCTTGCAGTGAATTGTGAAGTATAAATAAGTAAAATTTTGATTTATTAAATAATCATTTTTTTTAAATTGCACTGTACTTTCTTAACTATTGATTTTTTTTTAAGTATAAGCTCATCCTGATGTTACACTCATCAAGAGCTTTCATTTGAGTACCCACATGCTTTTTTATATATTTTTCATATATACATATATATATATGATATATGTAATATATATAAATATATAAAATATATGAAAAATTGATGTGGGTACTCAAATGAAAGGTCTCGATGAGTGTAACATCAGGGTGAGCTTATATCGTCAAAAATGTTAATAGTTCACAAAATATAAGGTAATTTCTTAATTAATGAAAATTAATTTAGCATATATTTAATAATTTTAAAAAATTTATAACAAAAAAATAATGGTAAAAAAAATTTTTAAAAATGGAAAAAAGCAATTTTTTAAAAATAATTTTTTTTTTAATAGCATATTAATTTTTGATATATTTTTCATACATACATATATA